CACCACCAACATATGTATCCAGAGCGCTTTCTCCTACTTGGCGTTCAGCGCCCAGACTACCTCTACACAGCTATTATCAGCCTACGAATTGACAATGCATCCCGTTGACGTCAGCAACCCAAGTGCATGAAGATGTCAACCTTGTAGACCATCTCCAAGACCAGGTACGTGCCCTCACATCATCATCCTCATCGCTCTCTCTCCCCCTCGTCTTCTCTCCCACATTTTCTCTCTCTACATGAATACCACCGCCACCTCCACTGGTTTTGTCCAAGTCAAGCCCGGCTACAGGGGCTGGCTATGGCGCTGCCCTCAGCAGTGCCCTGCACCACTCACACGACCGCACGCGCACACTTACACACACGCTAGCGCAGCAGCAGCTCCGCATAGGCTCGCAAGTGCCGAATCCCCCACCCACCCCGGCGCCCTGCTCCTTCCTATATGGGAAGTGGAGGGCGCATTGCTTGCTTTCCCCCATGCGAGACCGAGTTTCGCGTAGCTTCAGTCCCGGCCAAAGTGTCTGCGCCCAGGCCCTTTCAGACAGTGGAACGAATAGGTTGCTTTCCCCCAGGCATGGCCAACCACTCAGGCACAAACGCGCGATGCTCCCTGCTTCGACCGCGTTGCTGGAAGAGCCTGGAGGGCTCACGAATATTGTGGATTCTCACGAGCAAGGTGGATGTAACCAACTGGCGTGTGGCAATTGTATGGCACCGACCAAGGTTTGCAAAAAGTGATGAGTTCAGGGTCCCGCATTCACTTAGGATGGGCACGTGCCTGATGCAGGACCTTACGCAGTTATGTCGAGGGATCAAACCCTCGCACCTGGAAAGTACTAGTGTGAGTATGCCCTCAGTGAGGGCCTTTCCGGAGAAGGTGGGATATGTCCTGCCCCACTGGCAGGGCACTACAAGAAAGGAGGGAAAAAAAACAAAAAAAAAGACTGATTTGGCTGTGATGGTGGTCAGATACATTCTGGACAGTACTACTGTGAGTATGCCCTAGGTCAGATGGCTTCCCCCACATCTCTTTCGTCAATGGCTTCCCCCACATCTCTTTTCTGTTTCTTTCATGAAGCAGCAACAACCTTTATTCATTAATGATCTGGATTTAGCTGTTTTTTTTTTTTTTTTTTTTTTT